GCGGGCTGCCGGTATATACAACGGTCTCACGGTCACTGTGAGAGTGGTGCCTAAGCAGCCGGACATAAGAATTTCTTGAAAACCCAACGTTGCATCTCTTTTTTGCTCGAAAACATCATGTCAAATCCACCTGTCTTTGGCTCAAGTTCTCTAGAATTTTTCAAGCACTGTAAAATGAATGCTTTGCTAATTTTCAATCTTTGACCACAAAATAATTGAAATTTCTCATTTTAGTTGGCATCAAAAGTGCTTTAAGAACAATCACATTCAAGTGATTGAAAACCATTTCATAAGAACAAAACTGAGTACATAGTAAATACATCAGAACGAGACGTGGATGCCATTCATCCCTACAAGAACACACTAGTTCCAGAAACACAGAAAAGGCTGTTTTGTTAGGAGCGAAACAGCGAGAGGACAACGATACAAAACTCAAAATGGTACCAGCAGCCTCAGATACTTCAAACTGTGAAAACTTCTGTACCAGAACAAAAGACGAGAAGTTTCTGTATTAGCTATCGTGTCAATCCTCAACAGAAGTCTGCTACAAGAAAGAGTTGGCTGTGAATGCAGGCCACCAAAGGCAGTCCCAGCAAGCAAATAGAAAGCACAATTATCCCTTCCTCATTTGAAAAGAAAAAACTACAATTCATCGAGGGTTTTATCACCGTTCCCCAGTGAGAACAACCAACGGAACAGTTGAGATAACTTACTGGCTGGCTTCGCCTCCTTTTCCTCCAATTTTGCATTGCACACTGAGTTATAGTCGTGCTTCAGATGAGGAGCAACTATTCTTTCCTGTAAAACCAGAAATGGTAAAATGAGAATGAGCTGAACGGCCATATCTATACGTGTGAGAGTAAGATAGAAACCGTACCTTGAAAACATCGAGTGGACAGAAATCAGAACCATCACAGCCCTATACACCAAGACAAAAAGTTATCGTGTGAGAATTCAATACAAGAAAACTCAGCAGTAACCATTATAACTGAAACAGCTGATCACTATCGGCCCTAAGAAATAATGGATAAAAATTATACCAATGACAACATATTATGAAATTTATACTAATTGCATTCCTCATGAACTTTTCAAGTACAAAAATAAAACCGAAGTTTGGAATCCAAAACTCTTCAAAATCATAAGAGTTCAAAATAAGTAAAGAACTGGAGCTTACTGGCATTGGAATGGGGTGTTCATTGTGCAGCACTTGCACAAAGTACTTGCTTGAAATGTTGGCTGGACAACTGTACAGAACCAGCATATTATTCCCGCCAAAAGGTGCCACAGTATTGCCCCTCCACTTTCTCTTCTGGGGAGGCTTTGGAGGGAGTTGCAAGGGTTGTTCCTTCTGTGTCCGTTCAAATTCTGAAATATATAAAAAAACAACGCCTACTATGAGAATAGCATATAGAAGATGCCATATACAGTTATTATTTCCACATACGAGCGTACACCCCGATCATCCAAGAAAAATTCAGAATTTGCGGAAGAAATCACTCACCAGTTCCATCAAGAAAAAGTCCAAGCAGGCATGAAAATGGAACTACAGTTTCTGCATGTGCGAACCTTAGCCTTGCCTTTTCATAACTCCCAGGAGCATGTTTTTCTAAAAAACGATAAGGGCAGCGAGAGAGTAAGAACTGAAATATCAGAAGTCGTATAAAACTGAACTGCCATAGTTTACAACTTATAACTACACTACTACCCAAGACGGGTTACAAAGGAGAAAAAGTCATAAATAATCCTTTTATCAAGTTCATATATGTACCTTCTTCAGCCGTAATAGCCTGCTCCATGGACAGCAATACATCTTCAAGCAAGGGAACTCCCATTCTATAGTTTAATGATTTACCATATCCCTTTAATATAAAGGCTTCCAAATCATCTGCCCACTCCAGCAAAGAAACCTAAGAACACAAAACTTTTTCATGTAAATAAACAATAAAAGAACATACATAATATTCGAATGTATGTTTCCTTGTATTAATAGACGTGTCTACAACCTAAAAAGGCCAATCTGATGAAACTTAGTTTCATATACTCCATCAGTCTCAAAATATGAGATTAGAACAAAAAATGCAATAAAAAATTTGGATAACATCTTTCACATAGAAAAATCATATATACCTCGGAAGGGGTGAACAGCGCACAAGCTTGACCAGTTATATTAAACAAGGACGCTTCCTGCCAAATAGAACAAACAAATAATGACCATAAAAATCAATTTCACTTGGAGAATAATTAACCCAGAGAGAAATATGACGTGTTTATGCATGGAAGCAGAAAGAAATAAATCACCTGTTTGCAAAGAAACCAAAGAGAAGTTGTATCCTTCTTTGTAAAATTCAACTTGTAGCGCCTCCTTAATGAAGAAGTAATTTCATCATAGATAGGTTCCTTGAGCTTGTCAACAGAAGGCTCCTGACTTTTCTTATATGCCTGAATACATACTAAGTCTTCGTCAACCAACAAATAAAGCATAGACAGATGATGCAATAGAAACATGGTTATGGCAATCAGTCTAGTTCCCCCAGTCCCACCAACAATGTAAGTACTTAATTAGTTTGTGTGTGGCATGTTTAAAAATCAAAGAGAAGACCAATACTGCAGAATACCTTGTAGTTTTGGCAACAATCATGAAACCTCAACTTTATATCACTCGCACGACTTTCACTGGACACAGCAAAAGCTCGATGACGCCCAGGTCCAAGATTTCCTTTCCCACTAAACATTCCCATGCCAAATGCCACAGCACTGGCGGATGCCCGAGGGACCTACCACATCATAAGGAAAAAAAAAACAGATGCATAAGCTGATAAGTTATTAATGAATTGAGGGGAAAATTTTTTCTATAGCTGCTATCCACAGCCAGAGAGATATGACAACTTTAACCAGCGTTAAGCCTCAACCGATGAAAATAAGTTACTCCAAACATTCCATTAACAAATTTCCAAATATAATAGATGACTATTATGCCATAATAAAGTTACCATCAACCTATAAAACAAGGCTGATCATGGAAATAACACATATAGCGAAAAAATGGTTTAATGCTATTGTATAATAAAAACTACTGGAAAAAGCGTACAACAAAGCTTACCTGTGTTGCCTTTATTGTGTAAACATCTGGATGGTAATCCTGATCAAACAGATTTGGGAACCTTTCTCGTGTCCTGATTCCAAAATCATAGAGTTCATCCTCTCCTTGGACAATTAATTCTCCACCTGTCAGTTTTCCTTTCCAAGGAGATTTCCAACCCAAAAACCAACCAGGAAGTTTTTCCAAAGATAGGTTCTGTTCTTCTGCTTCTTTTAGTAGCACCTCCAGACGAGAGGCCAGGATATCCATATCTTTGATACGTTTTTTGGTAGGAGCACGGGTTCCATGCCTTGCCTGATAATATAAGTTTCATCAGGTTCCACAATTGTGGCACTCTCTAAAGTTTATCGATTAAAAGATTAAAAGCAGGAACAAAAATTGACCGCCTCAACCGTAACTTGTGGAAAGCTAGCAGGGTAATCTTAACAAAAGCGCAATGCAACAACAACGCATACATAAAAAAGCGCAATGCATTCGCAGCAAACTTAATTTCCGTTCGAATCTTCGAATCTAAGTTACTTCTTACGGTAGAACCTAGTAATGCATATTTATCTAACGCTTATAAAGAACCGAAAAATCAAACAGTTGAAACAAAAATAGAAGCTTGGAATTGGGAATCGAAACACGAAAAAGAAATTTACCACAAGATTTAGGTGGATAGGAGTACACCCATCTGGTATCTTGGATGGTACAAATGAGTTGTCCGCAATGTCTTTAACGACACCGTATCTGCAGCCAAAACCCATTAGTTATTTCTCAGAATCGTTCACTATCATCCCTAAGGTTCTTCAAATTACTTGAAAAGATTAATTCTTTGAGTTAAATTAACTAAATAAATAACAAACAAAAAAAAACGCAATTTGATGATATTGAACAATTTAAGAACCAATAATCTAGTTCTAATTTGGCATCAACGACATATCAATTGAGCGTAAAATATGATTAAAACAAAGTAAATTAAAATGTATTTTTAATCAAATTAATGGAAAAGATTTGAATTTGTGAAAGAGGAGAAACCTGGACGCAGTAGAAAGATGTTGGCGAACATCGAAACCTTCTTCTCCGGCATTCGAATGGACGAACACCGATAACAATACCAGCAGAAGCGCCGCCATGGCTCTCCCCATCCTCCCTCTCTCTCTCTCTCTCTCAACACACACACACTCTCTCTCTCTGTCTCTCTCACTCTGCGTTAAGAACTTGAAGAAGAAAGGAATAAACCGGAAAGCAAGTCGGCAAATAAATGGAAAAGAAGAAGATGACTCCTTTTTGGCACTTTTATTTGGTCGAAAGTTGCAGGTGGCGTAACTTGTCCCATCAGTGAACGCCGCGTGGCAAAAGTTGAATACGCGTGGTGGCCGCGGGCTAATGGCCCGCTCAAATCTCTTTCCCCAGATCCAATGATCCGGGCTTTGGATTCTTGAAATTTAATCATAGGCTAAAATTATTATTTTTACTAATTAATAAAAAAAAATTTTGTCAACTAAAAGAGAATTAAAAGATAAAAGTCTTTTATTACATAAAAAAAGGTAATAAAGTAATTTTACAGGTTCAATTTTACTTTTTTTATTGAAGCATCAGTAATATTAAAATACCTCTAATATTTATAAAAAAAATAAAAAAAAGAAAACCAAAAACAAAAACCTTCCACTTGCCTCTCTCTCTCTCTCTCTCTCTCTCTCTCTCTCTCTCTCTCTCTCTCTCTCTTATTTTCATTTTCTAAAAAAATGTGTTCATGCGTACAAAGTGTGTAGGCAAATGCTAGTAACTTTTAAAAGAGACCTCTGTTTTTTTAATCTTTGAATTAAATTTCAAGAGCCCGAATTATTTGATCCGGAATCTTGATGGAAGAGATCCGGAGATGATCTCTTTCAATGGACCGCCGCAACCACGGACTCTTCCCCTGTGGGCCCCAACTATCCTAGCATCCAACATGGGCGGGCCTTGCGTTTTAGGCTTTTAGCCCATCAGTCAAAGCCCACCATGCTCAATTCTGTAATCTGTGGGGTTTTAGTGAGGGCGTCTCTCTCCCTCCCTGCAGAACTCCATAGCCGCGGAAGCTCAGATACTTCCTCAAAGTTCAAGCTCACAGTCCCAAAATGGTAATTACACTCCTCACCTTCTGTTCTTCGTTTTTTTTATTTAATTTTTGCCTTGTAAATTTACTTTTCCTATTTCCAATCGCCATTGAATATTTTCTTTTACTATTATTTTTTGTAGTACGTAGATATTGATTTAAATTTTGGGTCTTTAATATTTTTCCTTATCACTGTAAATTTATTTTCATGGTTTTCATCATTGCCTAAAAATTGAAATATTATTAGTAAAAAACTTTTTTTTAATGATTTTTTGTTGTTGTTGAACTGAATAATTAAGTGTATTATTCTGGTCAATGTGGGGTATATATCCAGAACTTTATAGTGTTGTGCATATAGTTTTGATATGATTATTGTTGGAGCTGATGGAACGCTTGGCTCAAAACCACTGTTCTAAAAATAGGCGTTAGGCGACTGGTCATCGTCCCGATTAATGTCTAGGTATTTGAAAAATTAATAAAGGGTGTCTAGACTAGTTGAGGCGCCCGCCTAGACCGCCTAGACCGCCTAGCCCATCCAGACCCGCTTAGACACCTACCTAGGTTGTGACTCATTTTGATAGAAAATAGATAACTTTCAATTTGCATTTAATTTTTTTCAATAAATTGTAAGAGACTTGTTGAATACTTAAATAGGCACACACTATAAGCTTGTTCCCCATGTTTTAATTATGTTTCAATACTTTATAATACATATGTCATTCTATTTTGTAGTTTATGATGAAATTATATATATTTTAAGTATAAACAGACATTTATTTACACAAAAAATAATGGATTTACTTAAATCCGCCTAGTCTGCCTAGGCGTTAGGCCCTAACCCGCCGCTCAACTAGCGCCTAGTGTCTTTTAGAACCTTGCGCAAAACTGACACTGCGTTCTAAGATTCATATAGCCGACTCTATTTAGTGAGATAATTGCTTTGAAAATACGATTTGCCATTTCAGTTTGAGGATTAGAGGCATGATGATATGAGTAAAGAGAGCTTTCCATCTCTTTTCTCCACATTGCTTTGAAAGTTTGAATCCAAGTGTAAACACACTGTAAACGAACCCAGATGAACTGAAACAAGTTTTACGCTAGCTGACTTAAGTTCTCGATTTCAAATGGATCAATTTGGTGGTTGAGTTTTGTGCTCGCGACTTTTGCAGGCGAGAGGTTTGAAGAAGCATTTGAAGAGGCTCAATGCCCCGAAGCATTGGATGCTCGACAAACTTGGCGAGAGGTTTGAAAATGTGAAGCAGTAAAAATGAGCTTATTCTCGCAACACAGCAAAAACAGATTGAAATATGCTCACTTACCGGGGGGTCATTTCCATCTTGATGCAACGGCATGTTCTGGTTGACGGGAAGGTTAGGACCGACAAAATATATCCTTCCGGTTTCATGGGTATGTTCATCCTATCTTTTAGTTCAAGCAATTCTTTCTTAATTTTACTTTCCAGGCTTGTAAATATGGCTAGCTGCATGATGATTGTTTACACTTCCTTTTTCACGGCATCCATTTTTACCCATTAATAAGTTCTGTGAAAGGACAATAGATTTTGTTGTAGAACTTATGTTGCTCCTTGATTTGCAGATGTTATTTCAATCCCCTAAACGAATGAGAATTTCTGGCTCCTTTATGACACAAAGGGTCGGTTCCGTTTCCACTCAAATCAGGGATGAAGAGGCAAAGGTTATTGTTACTTTTCAAAGTACATGACTTAAATTCTTGTCCAAAAAAAATTTACATGACTTGAATAAGTTATAACTACTGCATTTGGATCATGTTTCATCATTCCATATGGATCTTTTCGATCTGCAAAATTCCATAACTTGGATAACACTAAGGGTTGGTTCGGTCTCTGCTCAAACTGCATTTCATCTGGTTAACTGATGGGCATTTTCTCTATTCTGATGCCCTGAAAATCTTTCTCTGCAGTTCAAACTTTGCAAAGTACGGTCTGTGCAGTTTGGGCAGAAGGGCATCCCATACATTAACACCTACGACAGGCGAACCATCCGCTACCCTGACCCTCTCATCAAGGCCAACGACACTATCAAGCTCGACCTAGAGACCAACAATATCACCGACTTCATTAAGTTCGATGTTGGCAATGTGGTCATGGTTACCAGTGGAAGGAACAGGGGGCGTGTCGGAGTCATCAAGAACAGGGAAAAACATAAGGGAAGCTTCGAGACAATCCACGTCCAGGATGCCACCGGCCATGAATTTGCTACTCGATTGGGCAATGTGTTCACCATCGGCAAGGGGGGAAAGGCCGTGGGTGAGTCTTCCCAAGGGAAAGGGTATCAAGCTGACCATCATCGAAGAGGCGAAAAAGAGGCAAGCAGCTCAACAAGCAGCCACGGCCTGATTAACTCTGCACTGCCTTCAAATTTTGATTTACTTGTCCGGCTATTGGTTTTGCTTTTGGACCTGGATCTAGTAGTTCTGGACTTCTTCAATGTTCATACGTTTCCTGTTTGTTTTGCTCACTACATGTGAACCTCAAATTTTTGTTATTTAAAGTTATTTGGAATTGGTCAAAGAATACTCTACTTGATACTTTTTTTTTTTTTTTTTTTTTTTTTTTGGTTACCCTCCACCACCCACACAAATACAAACACAAACACACACACCAGGTTTCGAACCTGGGACCTAGAACTACCCCACCCCTTACCCACACCCTCACCACTAGGCTATTCCTACTTCATAACCAAGGCCAAGTTGCTGTTGGAATTTGTCGAAAAATTAGAGCCCGTTGAAAGTTCTTTTAAAACGATTGAAATGTTTTTAAAGAAAATGTTTTTAAGTTTTAAAAGTACTAGAAGTGCACCTTGCAAGATGCACCAGTAATGTGTTTCTTTTAAAAATCACTTTAAGCGTTTTTCTAAGATTTACTTGTATTTTTATTAAGAATTGTTTCAAAAACATTTTCGACAAAAATGCTTTTAGTCATTTTAAAAACACTCGAAAAAGTGACATATTTGGAAAAAAAACAAACCTATTTTATCAGAAAATTATGTCAACTTCTAAAAACATTAGGAAAAAAAACAGTGACATATTTGGGTGCCGGTTGCATTAATAGAAAGGATAAGTAGTTCACAAGCTGCATTCAAACTAACTTGACTAACATTTGTCCCAATCTAATCAAAACCCCTATAAACAGCTACAATCAGCGCACCAGACAGCATACGACCACCTTCAAACTGGTTACCGAGAAAGAACAGGGACAAACTCATCATCACGCTGCAACAGCATCCCCGTTGAGCAGTGCCTGGTCGAAGTGCCAGACCCCTGTAACGCGCAGCAAAGCATAGCGTTAAGAAACAATGCAATCGGATCAAGGAAAGGTTCTTATCATAAGAAAGAAAGATATTGGTGTGGGATCAAGTAAAGATGATTCCGAAATTAAATCATGGGGATCTTACCGTGTCCTTTTCCGACTCTCCTTAGTTGAGCAACATATTCAGAGATTTTCTTGATGGCTTCCACCTGCAAAGGTAAAAGTAGAACATCAAAATCATGCTACGAGTATTATCCCTGTAGAAGAACCTTTCCAACTCGGGAGATAAACAAAGGAGGACAGCAAAATTTACCTGCTCGGTCAAATACTCGCTTTCAACAAAATCTGTTAACTGCACATCTTTGTTCTTCTCAGCAACCTGTTAGTCGTAAAGCCAAAGGTAAAAACATGTCTTGTAAGTTAGAACATGGCATAAAAAGATTTACTAATTCATAACACGAATCAAATGACGTTACTGGTGAACGACGATCAAATTAACCATATATAATCAGCTATATCAAATCATCTTAAGCTAATACAACAGCAGAGAATAAGAACAGATGCCTTACACTGTGTAAAAGGAGCAGCTTTTCATTTGTCAGTTTCTCCAAAGATAATGCAAGCTCCATTGCTGCATCAAAAGAAAAGGGACAGAGTTAGAGCTCGATAATTAACAGTCCTATAACTAGTTCAATGACACGAAATCATCTGTATAAACCAGGTCCTCGGGCCTTGCCTTCTCTTGTTTCTCGTTATCAATAACCCCATACATCACATCAAATTTATTGTTAAGAAGGTGATCAATTTTCTTCAAAACTCAATCCCAATGTGCTACGACACAACTAAAGACTAAATATATTCATGTAAATGATTATATAATAGAATGGTGTCCAACAGGCCAAAACATAATTTGTTAAATTAAAAGTTCTGGCCACAGATACACAATTGAGGGCCAATAAAACTAACCATACAAAGCATCTCCTTTCTCTGGATGATCAAACTCAGACAAAGGCATCAGAATAGACTGCAATTTCACTCTTCCACCACGCTTATTCTGAGAAATGCCGACATCAAACAAAAAAACACGATAAGGAATTCAGTTTTACAGATGCGAAACTTAATTTATAGCCTATTGGAGTAACAAAAACACACAAAATTATATACTAGATAAGGGCCAAGCCAAACACCTGGTATTCCATAAATTTCTCAGCATGATCCCTTTCTTCCTCACTCGATTCCTTGAAAAAACTGCAATATAACAAAACCATAAATAATGAAATCATTGAATTAAATGCTAAATTTAGTAGTATGGATTTCCAGGAAATTACTTGGCAAGACCCTTGAGAGCAACATTGTCCCGATCGAAATAGGCGTACAAGGCATGGTATACGTACGAGACGTTGTACTCCACACTGTTATTCCACCAAAGAAACAAATCACTCAATCGTTAAGCACAGCAGAGCGTAAACAAATACAACCAAATTTCGACAAAGAACAGTGGGATTCGCAATTGCAATACTTTTAGATATGACATTCGAGACCAAACATACATACACAAATCCAAGAACAATGATTTAGCAATACATCCATACACAAATCCAAGCACGTACAGCTAGAACAACTTCACATTAAACAATTAAAGACACAATATTTCATATGATGAAAGAATGCTTTTGAAAGTTGAAACACACAATCGGATAACTAATCAAGATTTAAACTTTAACACACAGAATTCATTACGATAATCAAATATTACGTAAATAACAATTCTTTCATACACATATAACATGTGAAGGGAAAAGAAAGAAAACCCACTTGATCTGCTCGTTAATGGCGGCCTCACTTTCGTCAGTGTACTTCTGGCGGGCCAGAGAGAATTGGGGGAGAGTAGGAACGAGATCGAGCTCCTTCTTCACCTCCTCAAACGGCTCGAAAACCACACCGGTAAGCGGCCGGTTAGTCGCATTCTTCGACGCGCAGACGACGACCCCACTTTCATTTTTCGCCGGAGGGAACCGGAGAATCGAAGACAGAGATGTGGAGGAGTTCAGAGGCGAGAACGAGTACGAAATGGACAGCGGTGGCGACGACGGCCCAGAGGAAAACAGAGGACCAAAACTGTCCCCGCGAGCAAGCAAGTGAGAGGAGGCTGCAGAGGCTTTGAGAAGCATGACTCTAGAGAGAGAAACAGAAGCGTTGCTGGAGAGGAGAGAGAGGAAATCAGGGTCAAAGAAGCAGAGAAAAAACCAGAGGAAATGGAGGGTTTGAGTGAGTGTGCGGAGGTGAAGGAGAAGAAGTGGGCTATATGGGTGGCTAAGGATCGTATGAACCGTTGGATCAAACACACGTGGACGGTTGTTATTGATTTGATGGGACGGGCGCGTGGCGGGCTTGTGGCGTGGGTGGACGTGCTGTGGAATCCAAGGAAATACGGAATTTTGGGGCGTGTGTTGAACTTTTTGGGGTCTCTTTTTGTTTTTTGATTTTCGTATGAAGTAAACAGCCAACTGTTTTTTTCTGAAACTTTTACTCAACTTTCAATTTTTTTTAAACTTTTTAATTGGAAAATTAAATATTTAAATTAATTTTTTTGGTCAATTTTCCCTTACTATTAGTTTTTCATTCATTTCGTCCAAATTTTTGTTAAATGAAAGTATGTATACAATATATGAGAGTAGTTTCATCATTTCATTCTTTAAAATAATTGAAAATTCTAGATTTCTAAAATAATGACATGTGCAAATCTGTGTGATTATATAGTTTTTGTGTTTGAAGGTTTAGTAAAGTGACACTATTGTTCTCAACGGAGTGTCACGTGATATGCACGTGATAAGAGTTAAAGTTAATTTAGATTAAATCTATGGAAAACTAATAGTAGAGGGGAAATCGACAAAAAAAAAAGTTCAAGTCCTTAATTTTTCAATTAAAAAATTTAAGAAAAAATCAAAAACTAAATGAAAGTTCCAGAGAGAAAATTGACAATTTACTTTTTTTTTATATGTTGCCACAAAAAGTTAGAAAGTAGTTTCTTATTAAATTAGAAAGTAAATTTCGAATAGGACTCTTGACAGTGGTATATAAGATAACCATAAAGGAAATACAAAAGTTATCTTTTTCACTCCCATTGAGTAGATTTGAATTTTTAAATTTATCTTTCTCACTACCATTGAGTACATTTGAATTTAAAAAATTTATAGTCAAAAGAAGATTTGAGTATGTCAACTTTCTACATAAAGACATTCCAGAAAATTCTTGCAAGTGACGCTAGACTAGACGGTCATATGCATTGAGCACCCTTACAACATGTTTTGGAGTGGTTAAGAGCTCTTGTACATGATAGACAAGTGAAACCGCCCTCAAAAAAGAAAAAGTGGATTATGAGCTCTTGAGCACCCTTATAAATAGAAGAACAAATACAACTCATGAGCTCTTGACTCACCTAGTCTTCTTCTTGATAAAAAGGGTTAGATTGATTGTTTGCTCAAGATTAGGGGTGCAAGTTGGATTTGAAATTTCAATCTGAACAGAAATTTTTTATTCCATGCCCGAACATTTCTGATTTCAAAAAAATGACGAAATATTTGGGTACCAAATAGATTGTAACTACCCAATTTGAAAAATTTTCAAAGTCTTGCAGAATGTAGGAGATTCAATTTAGGTTTCAAAAATTATGAGATAAAACCGATTTCAAAATTTTCGATAATCTAAAATTCCAAAAGTAAAATTACTATTTGATGCTGAAACTTTGTTGAATCGGCATTGAAACGCTTGTTTCCGATCCAATCCAACTGAAAATCACCCCTAATCAAAGATATGGGATAGGAAGGGCCAAATGCGATCCACATGCCAAGATTCTGGTTGTGACGTTTGACAAGCATGTTTTTGTCTTGAAGGTTTTGGGGGGTCACATTTTTTCTTTGTCTAGAAAAGTTGGGCTATTCTTTTTCCATCTGAATTTCTGAAAGGGATATTAGAAAGGGATATTATTAGCCTATTAAACTTGTGTTAAGATACTAATACAAACATCCCCCTCTTCCAAAGCTTCCAAGAGGTTAGGTGACAATTTTTAAAGTTAATTATAAATTATTATACAATAATACAAAATATATTACATGTGATCTACTATTTTAGTATATAGAATGCTGGGTTTCTATCGTGTTTTCTGAGTTTGAAAACATCGCTTTTTCTAAATTAATATATTAGTTTCAAGTTGAGCCTTATCATTGGGATGGCCCACTATTCTGAGTGGAAGCCAAGAAGCGTACTCATGTTACATTGGCCATTATCATCCATAATTGGGCCTTATCATAGGTCCAATTTTCTACACAATATTAAGGGCCTTAGTCTTACTTGGTCTTACCAGATAAGCACTCCAATTTGTCCAAAGGAAACTTGTTCTTGCAGTTGCAGAACAAATCCAATTTGCCTCATCTTCCCCTAATTAGGTATAGAATTGCCAATTAGGTTAGTTGAACTTCAGACTTTCTATTTACAAATAAGAAGGAATACTACTGGACTGTAATACAGAGAGGGGAGCAAAGAGAACCTTTCGATACAAGCAATGGCATAGCCTCAACAGCATAACTAGGATGCCAAAGTGAACTAGGTTGGGAACTTGAGGTAGGCTTTTAAGATATAGGTTTGGGCCAAACTGGAACTCCTCCAACTCTCTATGGTATTCCGCCTCCAAGGGAACATCAATTATTTGACCTCAAGCGTGTAATTTTAACCGCTTTAACTACAAGTCTCTTTCGAATATGGGTTGTATGATTCCTATGCTAAGATGTTGCAGAGTGCAAGAGACATTATAAATCCTAAAGAGATATTTGATATTGTTTAGCATTGAGATTACCAATGTTGGGGTTTTGCAGAAAGTGGGAATCATGAACTGATAGAAAACCATGCATGACCACGATGCTCATTTAATGCTGGCATTGGAGGTCTCATGTTTTCCCCTGGGCCGATGTCTGTTTCTTCCCTTATAATTTGTTTGTTTATTTGTACTAATTCTTGGAGATTCGATCATACAAACCAAGAACCATGCATGGTTCTTACCAATTTATTAGAGCTTAGGTATCCGACCCCTCTGTTTTGTAAAAGGATAAGATGTAATTAGTTAAGCATATTGCGTTAAGTTACGAGTGTTTTTACTGAAAGGACTTGGATTGGATGACACGGGTACACTGTCCTAGTGACATCTCATGCCAATAATACAAAGGTATGCATTTATCGACAAAAGCTAAAAATTTCTTGTAGTGGTGGTAATCCGAAAAACAAGTAAACTTTACGAAAGTACGGTTTATCCCACTACAATAATGAGGATGATTTCAAAAGACGATGAATCACAATTTCAATGTTACAAAAACATTACATGAGAGGCGGGAGGAGTTTTTAGGTTGGAATGACAAAACCAGAGCATTTTTGGTTATATATATAATATTTGATAGGAAGTAAAGTAGTATGAATATATGTTTGATATTAAATACATATATTTTATTTGAAGATAACGCGTATATATATAGTCTGCAGCTTAACAAATGAATTACTATTAACGAAAAACATCACCATATACCTGTATTATACAAATTGCTCGCTTCTTTGACAAGAGTGTAACTCTATAAGAGTCACCACAAGAGCCAAAACATTTGGCACAAAGAGTGACACATCCCGGCCCGGGCCTCGACCATGCCTTCACAGTTTTGTTTCTGGGAACTCACACGAGAACTTTCCAATAGATCACCCATCATGGATTTCTCTCGCGCGAACTCGTTTAACTTCGGAGTTCCGATGGAACTCGAAGCCAGTGAGCTCCCAAAAGGCCTCGTGCTAGGTAGGGATGAGAATATACATATAAAGCTTAGAAGATCCACTCCCCTAAGCGACGTGGGATGTAACAATCCACCTCCCTTAGGGGCTCGACGTCCTTGTCAGCACACATTAAGCCAGGGATTGGCTTTGATACCAAATTGACACATCCTGGCATGGGCCCCCACCACATCCTGGGCTCGACTCCACCGTAGCACGATATTGTCCGCTTGGGCCCCAACCATGCCCTCACAGTTTTGTTTTTGGGAACTCACACAAGAACTTCCCAATGGGTCACCCATAATGAGATTGCTCTCGTGCAAACTCGCTTAACTTCGGAGTTCTGATGGATCCTGAAGCCAGTGAGCTCCCAAAAGGCATTGTGTTAGGTAGAGATGAGAATATACATATAAGGCTTAGATGATTCACTCCCTTGAACAACGTGAGATGTAATAAAGAGACTAGCTAGACCAGATGGAAACAAAACATTGTAGCATACCAACATGCAACGGAAGGAGGGGGGTTTGATTTTGGAAACATGAAAAGAAGCATGGAATTGTGTGATGAGCTATTAATGCAAGAGACTTTGGGCTTCTTCAAATCATATAAACAAATATCAATACTAATTAAATAATCTATGCAACTTAACTTATGTCAGGGCCTCATTAATTCTTGATAAGCTTGGTTTTTTTTTTTAAATTTATTTTTATTTCTCTCCATTAATTAAAAAACCTATGTTTTTAATTAAGTTTCTCGTGTACAAGTGCATCTTTCTTTCTTATGAAGGAAAGATCATCTTTAGGGTTTTGACGGTTGAGTGTGATAATTTCCTAGTATATATGCATCGGTTTATACTCGGAAATATTTGGATTCTTGAATAAAGAACTTTTATATCATTAGACTCGATCTTAACAATGCATCTAACCATCAATTGTTTTGATACATATCATACATTAGAGCATGAATGTTCAGAATAACGAGATTTTCGATATTGACAACGCATCTAACTATCAATTGTTTTTATACATGTCATACAGCAGAGCATGAATGTTCTGAATGACGAGAGTTTCCGTCTTTAAGCACTTTTTTATCGAAGGATAAGAGAGAGTTTCCGTCTTTAAGCACTTTTTTATTGAAGGCCCCTTGTCCTAGAGTATGACTTTCTTTAAAAAACAAAATAGAAGAGGAGATTTTGTGCTCGTTGATTGTTAGATCATGTCTTCTATGAGTAAGCAGTTTCAAATACTATGATAGTGATTAGTGAATAGTGATGAGTCTAATGACTGATGAACTAATCACGGGTTCGTTCAACGTTCCACATTGCTTAATTTCGACAAATTATAAAACCAATGGTTCTGCATTGCCCAAGTATATCTAAGATTATATCAACTACACAATCTGTATATTATTATTTTTTGGAAATTTTAACAAAACACTCCCGGTACTGTTGACTTTTAACGAAAAACCACATTTATACTTTTCCCTGATACTATTCACTATACTTTTAAAAAGGATTTTTCATTAAAAGAGAAGTTTTTTTTGAACTTTTCATTAGTTTTCCTTTATTTTTTTAATCTATATAAATATATGCTCACGAGATACGATAAATCTAAATACTACCTGCTTAAGTTGTTAATTGCTTTTTTTTCCTTTAATTCCCTTTCTTTTGTGCAACAATTAAAAAAAAAAATTGAGATCCTCTTCGGATCTACAAGTCCAGAGCCAATGGATCAGAGATCCGGGCCGTTTAAGGAATAGAGAGAGATGTGGACCCTTAATTTGTGTCAGATGGGCTAATGAAATATGCTAATTAATGGTATCCGTAGGTGTAAAATGAATAGTCCGGATCTCTGAGTTTGCCGATTTCGGACACAAAGATCAAAATAGGACTTCAATTAAAAAAAAAAAGTAGGAATACCAGAGAGTTCTATATTATATGTTATTCAAAGGACTAATTGGAACAAGATATATCATAAGACAAGTTAATTCTAGTTGCACTATGTACTACACTCTGCTTCAAAAAATGGGACATGTTCCAAGTTTTGTTCGTGACTCACATCACATGCATGCATACAATGGATGCACACTAGAGACTCAAATATTGCACACTAAACTCCTTTGTATCTTATATAAATTTGACTTAAAAAAAAAAAACACGATGACGTTTTTAGGGTGTTTACAGAACGCGTATTCTGCAATATATTTGCTATAATCATTCTAAATCTTTCTACAAGGAGCAAGTTGGCCATACGTGCAAGTCGATAAAAAATCAAATCAACATTACAACTTACGTACAATTTGGGGTAGCCATTTTTTTTCGGTGCGACAAGAAATACTAAAATTATTTTTGTTGAAAACAACTTACTAGAAGGGGAGTGAAATGTTGAAATATCTGAATAACTCTAAATACAAGTTATTAAAATTTAATCGAGTTAGAATGAGATGAAGAATTAATGATTTTAAAAAATTTGACATGAAAATCGTTTAAAATTTTAATTCATATGATCATATGACAAATTAAAAAAAAAATGTATAGGTTCATATAACATTTTAAAAAATTCTCTTATTTAATCGGCGATAAAGCAATACCCCACTGATGGCCGGTTCCACCCAAGAGAAAGCGTGGAGGTGGGCCCCGTAATTAATGCACTCGAACAGAGACCCCGTCTTCGTGATATACAGCAGTTGCTCACTAGCTCTAGGTAATGCAAAAATATACAAGTTTTAAATTACTTATTAGAATATTAATTTGGGTGAAATTATATAAGTACAATTTTTTGGGACCGTTGGTTGATCTAACCAATGATTTGAGTCATAAAATATATTCAGTGAGAGAAAGCATTCACGTGAATGTTTGTGGGTCTAAGTTCTAACAAACATTCACAATTAGCCGTCATCTTGGCTCTCTAGTTTATTAGGGTTTAGTTAAGCAAAACTTACTATACCATATTACAAATTATTTACATGGACTAAAAATAATATTTACTCATATATTAAGTAGGGTAAAAATTAGTTATTAGCCTTCATACCAATTCTACAAGCCTAGCTATTGTAACTTCTTTGATATACAACAACGTTTGGAAATGCTTTTACAATTACTGAGAATGCTTTTGGTGAATTGTTTTTGAATTTTAAAAGCACTTCAAATGTTTTTTGGAAGAAACACCATGCAGGAAGCACTTCAAGTAGTCTTTTAGGATCCCTCTTGAATTTTTACTATGGATTTGTTTAAAAAATATTTTCACCAAATTTCAGTCATTTTAAAAATAGTTATAAATAAGCCATTAATATTGAACACATTATTCACAAAAATTGAACATAAAACTTGTCATTATTTCAGGTGAAAAAAGTACTATAAACCGGTAATACTAGTGGCAACCTAGTTATTAAACCTTATAATCTCCTAATAATTAGCTCAAAAATGTTCATATAGAAGCAAGGAATGTAAACAGATCCTCAGCATAAAACAAATGTTGGAAAGAGTCAAAGAAGAATGTGGAAGCCATACAACTCTTTTCTTTGACATGAAGAACAAGCGGGGGGCGGCGGGCGGCGGCCAACTTCTAAAGAACAAGCGGGGGGCGGCGGCCTACTCCTAACCTTGGATTTTGAGAGCCAAATTATATTAGATGGGGCCATCCAAATACACACACACACTTGAAGTTAGCTAATTTATTTTTCAAAATTTCATTTATATGACTATTTTTAAGTTGGGGTGGTCGAACCCTAAAACCGACAAGCAAAAAATAATTGTAAAATCATAATTATATATTTTTATTATAAGTAATATTATACGCTAATTTATACTAAGAAGAGAAGAATTTGAACGAGGGAGATACAGAGCTTGAAGCCTTGAACCATTGCTAGCAAAGCAAAATGCATTTGTTTGGTTGATAGCATTCTAAAACGTTGTGGCACGGTTTGGACAAAAGAATGCTACACTAAGAAATCAATGATACCCACGTACTCACTTATGTGAGATATTTAGCTATTTAAACTAAATTAATTAACTTATTTTAATTCCAATTAATTAATTATTATCTTTTTCTAAGACAGTGTAGTTTGATCTATATTTCAGACTTAAAGCCCCACACGTTCTCTTCTATCATAAATAGAGACCACCGATCCATTTCATTTCCTCCAAGTTGTAGTTTTCAGTCACACTTTCTTCCTCTTCTTAATTTCCACTACTCTCCAAATCAAAGCATTACGCAATCAACATGGCCGGAACTTCTCCGTGCGCTTCCTGCAAGTTGCTGCGACGCCGATGCGCCAAAGACTGCATTTTTGCTCCTTTCTTTCCTTCAGATGACCCCCACAAGTTTGCCAATGTTCACAAGATCTTTGGTGCCAGCAATGTTAGCAAAATGTTGCAGGTCCTTATTTCTACATATTTTCTCTACTTTTTTTTTTTTCTCGTTAACGTGTTAGGAGGGTTTCAACCCTCAAAACCTCTTCCAGCAAGAAGAAAAATATTACTAGACAAGCTAGGTTTATGAGGGGTATTGAGAAGAAAAATATCACTTTAGATGAAAAATTAGCTGGCCCAAATGCTTTATTTAAAACAGACCATATCATTAAGCGTTGTCGTTTAATTGAATTATTCGTATGTATGTTGCAGGAGCTTCCGGTTCATCAGAGAGCAGATGCAGTGAGCAGTTTAGTGTATGAAGCAAATGCAAGAATGAGGGACCCAGTGTACGGATGCGTTGGGGCCATCTCTTACCTGCAAAACCAAGTCTCCGAGCTACAAATGCAGCTTGCTGTGGCTCAAGCTGAGATCCTTTGCATCAAAATGCAGCATGAGCCCATGGTCCCTCCACAACAGATAATGGACGGGCCAGATGATCAGAAATCGTATTTTCTCCACAACAACAATCTCGCTCAGTACCTCAGTTTTCCCCCTTCCAGCAATGTAATCCATGACTCTCTCAATAGGGAGAACATTTTCGGACACGACATGGTTTCTTAATAAAGTTTGTAATAACATGTATTAGGCTTTTAAATAACTAATTAGTGTGTTCTAAATTTTTCTTCGCTGAGTAGGTCTTCTAATAATGATTTCGCTGATCGTTTGAAATTGTTCCTTTAGAAATTTTCCTGAAAAAACTAATCGTAGATTCTTCTCTCCATCAGAACATTAGGGCCTTTAGACTTAGAGAGGATTGACCTATAGAACAAGGGTAAGATGGCCAGGGTCAACTCTATAGCATGTGATGAAGTGATAAATTAGGATTTTTTATCAGTAACTTACTGAACAAACAGCTTCTATGTATCTATAAAATAGCACATAGATGCACAAGGGTCGGTGGCCAATTTCAACAGTATGGAACATAAATTAGGGTTCTTGCATATTATTACTTTTTTTTTTCACCGGAATTATCTTGCTGTGGTTCTTCAAGGACAAAAACTATAAAGTGTCAGCACATCGAACTTAATTTTGAGAGTCTGGACTCTGGAGCAATGGTTTTACCTAATAAGCCAAAGGTTGGAATTTCATGGACCTCGATCCTGTTGCAAGAAAGACAAAACCCAAATTTACTGCTCTTCTTTCCCAAAACCCTAAATTTCAAAAAAGTTTCTACATACGACACAGAATATAAGGAATTTATCTACTATATAATTGATAGTTCAGTCTCATATTTTCTCACATGGTCAGAGATGCCATTTGTGTTTGTTTTTAAGGTAATGAAAAGCACCACTTCAGATAAGTGCTTTTAGAACTAGAAGTGAGAAACTTCACTAAAATTTAACTCTTCAGTGTCTTAAAGTTAATGATAGGCTTGCAGCTGCTGCTTTGCTTCCATTTCCGATTTAATTAGTATCTAATTAAACTAGTAATTTCTAGCCTAATCTTCACAATTAGGAAAAGCAAAAAATTTGGCATGCCGCCACCTGTTGCAGATAATAACTTGTTCTTCTAGCTTGTTCACGTGGGGTGTAGTGTAAGGAAGCGGAGGTTCAGTGCATGAGAAGTATACAGTAGCAGAAATTAATATTAATTTGTTAGGACTAATATAATATGTTTTTCTAGATTCATCTCTCAAATCAATACATTACAAAAAATGATTAAGTGATTTTCGAACATTTCTTTCTTTTTGTATATATTTATAATTTTTTTAAAAGAAAAACTAATGAAAATGGTTTGAAAACTTTGAGTTTTAACAATACAAATAAAATAAATGGTAAAATAAATAGTAGTAGGATTGATTTTTTAATGTAAAACTGTGATTTTTCATTAAAGTAAACAATACTAACAGTTTTTCGTTAAAATTTCATTTTTTTAATTGTTTAATTAAATAAATACAAAAAAAAAATTAAATCAAAACAAACAAGGGTGCAAAAAAGAAAAGAGACAAAAGGCAACAGTTGAAGGCAAAAACAAAAGGCAACAGTTGAAGATTCCTCAGCTTTGTTTAATCTGGAAGCATTAACTTCCCAAGTCAAACTAAAAGGTTTTAATATATTTTTTATAGTTTCATCTTTCATGTCAAATCATTCGTTTTGCGTAGTTCTATGGTGGGTGTTTCTTGCTGTACTTAAGCCATCTTCAACCAACCGAAGGGTTCAGAGGACCAGATGATCGAAAATAGTACAAAAATTATCTCCAACTGAAGGTTAGATTAGAGAGCTCATAGAATCTAAGAGGGCTCCACAGAATCTGAAAGGGCCGGAGGGCTGGTCAGAAAACTGATTAATCCTATCGGTTATAACCGACAGAAATTCTTAAAAAAATTTTTGAATCCAACGGCTAGCTGACGCCAGTAACCGTTGGATTCAATTTTTGTTTTTATTGTTTTTTTAGGTTTTTTGGGCTTTTTTAAAATTAAAAAAAAAATTCTCAAAAATCCTATAAATACCTAAACCATTCATTCACCATTCCTCACAAAATTTTCACCATTCCTACACCATTTCAATTCTCATATTTTCCTTCCTCTTTCAAAAATCTATCCTTCAATTTTTTCAATAATTTTCAAATGACCTCGTCTGGAATGAAGGGTAAGGCTTGGACCCGAAAAGAAGATGAAGCTCTTTGCAAGGCTTTTAGATGGGTGTCAGAAGATAGTGTGAGGAGGAATTGTCAAACAAATGACGGTGTTTGGATTCGTGTGTCCAAAAAATACTTAGAGTTCTATGAAGGCACCACTCCAGTGAACATTCAAAACCACGAGAGTTGTTCTTCAAGATGGAAGAAACATCTTCAACCAAGTTTGAACAAATGGCATCAAGCATTGTTAGTAGCCGCAAGTAGACATGAAAGAAACGCTAATTACTACGACGAAGTAAGTGTTTTCACAATTTATTTTAAATATTTAATTATATTACATTTAATTTCATAAATTAATTTCCTTTAATTTTTTTCTAGGTACGCCAAGTGGAGGAATTGTATATGGAGAGCAGCTTGAAACCCTTTCAGTTTCACAGCTGTTGGGAAATTTGTAAAGGGTGGGTGTTATTTGAAGATACAGAGAGCTCCTACGTCGGTGTTTGGAACTGCATCCTTAGCTGGAGATATGGATGAAGATGGATCTCCAACCATTCAACAAATAAGGGTAGAAAATCCGTCTTCGGGTGAAGGTTCCATACCTAGGACTATGGGATGAAACAAGGCGCCAATGTTGAAGGAAAAAGGTAAGGCAAATGATGATTACGCCGCTTACCATGAAGTGGCGGCCTCATTGCGATTATTGGCGGAGTAAAATGCCCTTGAGGCGGAAGAAAGGAAGTGTAGGCATGAAGAACGGGCCAAACAAATATAAGAGGAGATGGATGATAAGAATATGGAAAGGAACACTTCGAATTACACTTCAATGAGTAAGGCCTATTTTGATAGGAAAAAAAAAAGAAATTATGAGCCGACGGCAGTTGTTTACCTCTGACTATACTCCTACGATGGCGGATGATGAAGATGATGTTGATTATGGATATTAAATTTAAGTTGTTGTAGTTTTTAAATTTAAGTTAATGTTGTTTTCAAATTTAATTTGTAGTTTTTAAATTTAATTTGTCGTTTTTTAAATTTAGTTGTAGTTTTTAAATTTAAGTTTTTGTAGTTTTTAAATTTAATTTGTCGTTTTTAAATTTTAGTTGTAGTTTTTAAATATAAGTTGTAGTTTTTAAATTTAAGTTGTGTTTTTAAATTTAAGTTGTTGTAGTTTTTAAATTTAAATAATAAATTAAGTTTGGCCCTATGACCCTCGGTTGAAGACGATTTTTTGTGACATGGCTAAAACGAGCCCTCTGGCCCTTGGTTGGAGACGGAGGCAAATATGACCCTGTACTATTTATTAAAATATTAATATCTTGGAGGACCAGAGGGCTAAAATGAACCCTCTGGCCAACCCTCGATTGGAGATGGCCTTACGTCGTATGGTCTCACCAGTACCACCATAAAATTAACTGGTATTACAAACTTAATTTTGGGTATTAATTGGTTGCTTAATTGTGGGTTTAGTGGACATTTTCATCCTTATTATATGGTTTATTAATGTATATTTAATTTCCATTTGCTTCCATCTTTTGTAATATATATTCTGTTTGTCTTGGTTGAATTAAGGGATTAATCTTTTCCTAATTGGTAATTAGTTAATCTCTTAAAGGGTGATCAAAGAATGATTAGTTTTCCCTTCAAGATTAACACACTGCGAGACTAAAAGTAGCAGATTACTTGTAGATCAATATATAAAGAAAGATGGAAATCATAGTTTAAAAGAAAAACTAACAAAAAGTTTTCAAAAACTTTAGTTTTAATAAAAATGACAAAACAAAAGTGTAAATGAATAGTACTATAAGTAACTTTTCAAGATAAAAATGTTATTTTCGTTAAAAGTGAACAATACCGAAAATATTTTACTAAGATTCTCAAGTTTAAAATGGAAAGCATAGTTCAACACTAAAAGGTGAGGTTATATTAAGTACTAATGATTATCCTGCATAGTTACATAACTATCACATCATGCATGGCCCTTAGCGAATTCATAGTTCGTTTTCTTATTATTAAGAAGACAAAAAACTGTTTTGAAGAATAAAATCCTGAGAACCACCATTATTAAAGCAAGTTCATCTCTAAAAAAATGCGTCATATACAATTAATTTAATCCACTTAGTGAATAATGATAGACCCCAATAAACAGTAATAGGCTAAATACATCTCCACTCCTAACAAAATATAGCCTAGTCAATTTTATTAAAATTTTATTACTTTTTATTATAAAATAATAAAAAATTATTTTATTTTTAATTTCTGACTTTATAAAAAATATTATTAATTTTTAATATATTTATTTATTTATTTATTAAGTTTTTTGGCTGAAAAATCTGGACCATTGGTCTAGAAATTGAACGGTCCTCATTATGCTACATTAGTAGCCATTAATTTTAAATTTCATTTTTTTTACCATTGGAAATCTAACGGCCCAGAAAACTAGCCGTTGGAAATCCAACGGCCTAGAACGAGCCACGTGGCCTCACCATCTGAACTGTAAGTGCGCCTGCACATGCGCATGTGGGCCCTACTCCATTTTTTCTGTCGGGGACGCGCCCCCACTCGAGCGTGTATCACAAGTGCCTGACACAAAAAAAAATCCAGTGGACTTTGACGTAAGCCTGACGTCAGATGGCTGGGCTGTTGGATTTGTCGATTCTGGGCCAGTCTCTTGCCTGACTTGGGCTGGTTGCCAGCCTATTAGGCTGGGGTGAAGTGATTTGGCTGGGGGCTGACCTGTTTTGGGTGCTGGCTACTGGCTGCCGGGCAATCCACTCCCGGTGGACTTGCTCTTACTAGAGTTGGCTTAGGGAGAACAAAAGGTGCTAGGACCCAAATTTGAAGGACCTCTAAAAAATTTTGCAATCTAATGTATATATGTAATAAAGATCTGGCATTCGTGTCATGTTTCTCGTGTTCGTGTCATACCCAATAGGTTATATATTGTGTCTATGTAGCAATTGGACATAAACGCTCAACTGTGGCACAATTGGTTCAACTTTCACATGTTTCAGACTTATACATTAATAATTATGAATTTTATTTATTGTGAACTCTCTTTAAAATACTATTCATGAGGGTTTGTATGGTTTTAA